GCTCACTTCCACGGCAATCTATATCAATCTGGTTGAAGGGAATGTTCCACGTTTGAAGGTGTCATGAAACTGTCTCACTTGCAACTATTGGTATATCGAAGTGAAAGACTGCTCGTGAACAACACAATTTATCCATTCAGGGAACATGTTCCTTAATACGGCATTGTCTGATTGCGCCATGGAACAACCGTATAAAATTAGAGATATTGCTGAACTGGCCGTGTGTGCCGCCCCGGCACCAAATTGTAGTACCTTAACCAGGCGAGAAATGGTAGTGGCGGCGCTAGACGAGTTTGCTACAGCAGATATTGTTATGGGCTCGTGTTGTTGGCCCTTCTCGCCGGATTCCTGCATATTTATCCGTGAGTTTGTTGTTTACTTGTATTCACATGCTCAGTTATGGCGCAACTCTGAAGCAATCACCAGCCTCACTTTACAAGTTTTATATTTACAAGTCTTATTATGCATCTCATTTCTGTAATGTCTCGTGCCCATGCTCAACTTCTTGCATTATGCACCACAATACGTGATTCGTGTTTGAATCTTACAATGCTTCACAACACTGGGCGAGATGCAAACAAAGTACCTGATATCTGAAAACCGTGCTCACAAACGCCATACACGAGTACTTTGACGATCATATTCTTCCTTTGCCTTGCACGCCGCATGCCTAATGGGGTGGCAGCATTCGAATGACGTCTCTGTGGCGTAATGCACGTCTAGTGACCATGAATAGTCTGCACGAAACAGGCTGCGTCATCTTAGCGGGCGGGTGGCTCAGAAACTAGGGAGACTTAGATCTTAAGAAAGGTAGGGCTGTTAACTGCAATCGGATGACCTTCAAGCTGGCTATTCTATTCAAAACCTTACACAATGTAGAACACTCTCATTCCTAAACACTTTCAAGGTGCCAAAATATGGCAAAGTGTTGCTTACACTATTCTGCCGCGACGGAGGCCCGACGAACGGTCGGGCTTTACTGTTCTGATGTTCCCTATTCACACTCTTCCACTCCAACAACACAAATGTCATTGCAGTTTACGACAGGTGCGCCGCTCACGTTTTAAGGATAGATCTCGACGACCCTCGTATTCCTAGAGCAATTGCAGCCGTTACCACAGCTTCCCCTGAGTCATCGTTTTAACAGCCCCAGCCTCCCATCGGCCACAACCGCCCGGTCCCAGCCTCTCTGCGGCTACTACCGTCAGGCCCCAACCTCCCTGTGGCCATGACTGCCACGGCCATAACCTCCCTGCGGCTCTGGTCGCCGCGTTCGCTGCGCTCACTTGACATCGTGTACGGACTCTCCGACGGCAACCTCACACATGAGCCGCTTGGTAACCCAGTCGAAGGCGGCCACGTGGCCGAGCGCGCCGCCCATCACCAGGTGGCGTCCGTTCCGCGTGTAGTCGACGCTGTACGGGCCGAACTCCCGCAGCCGCAGGTCGAACCGCTTGGTCGCCGACGTGATGTCGACGGCGCCGACGATCTCCTCTTGCGAGATATCGACAGTGTCCTGCCCTCGTCCGCCTCCAGGTACCTGCCGAGCGAGAAGAGTTCAGGCGTGACACACGGCGGGCCCGCCACACTCCACCGCAAGACATCAGGTGTCGTGACAAGCCAGAGGGATACGAGAGCAGATCAGACGGCGCAGCCTACTTTGGACTTCCTTAAGGTATGGAAGAAGAAGCATATACGATGGTCAGAACGACAACAAACCATTTATCAGGTCACAACGTCTCTTTCGAAAAGTGCAGCATGCACAGGGAATTCTCCACTCGCGAACCCGCGACAAATGGGAGTTCTCCTGATCCATCTTCTAGCCACGAGAATCTCTTTCCCTTCCCCCGTACCACATCTACAGCATCTGAAGACAAAACGTGACAGTCTAGGCTCATCCCCCTCTACGTGTAAGCGACACGGGGCGAGCAGCTCGCGCTGCGGCTGCGGCCGCGGCGATTGGCGGCGAACGTGGCGCGCTCCACTGACCCGGACTCCTCCTGCAGCAGCAGTTCGCTGGTGGCCATCTGATGAAGCGCCTGCTCGGCCAGCCGCTCGCGCCGGCGCGCGCGCTGCTGGTGCGGCCCGCGCCGTACGGCCGACACGTCCAGGCCGTCGCCCCAGTCGTACTTGTCCAGCCGTGCGTCTGAGTGTGGCACGGTCGCCTGGTGTGGCGCGAGTCGGTCAGAGCCGTCCGTGCGCCGGCCGGACGCCGCTGGCGGCGACCCGGGAACGCGCCCCGGAAGCGGGCTACGCAGGGTACAGGCGAACGCACCGGACACTCGCGTCATGCTACGCTCTGGTGTACGGCACATACACATGGCTGTGTACAAAGTCAACCTAATGAATCATTGGTTTGGGTGTAATTATGACCAGTAATCATTCTGCATGACTTCTTGAACAGACACTGCTCATACCATGCAAGTGGCACAGCTATTGTTGTTTTTCCCAGGCTTAGCAAAATAAGCAAAGCCCATTCAGATGACACCAGCCATCTATTTTATTCAAAACTGCACACAATATCACCACACAAAAGCAAACATTTGTGACAACTTTGCATGTGGTCCACACCATGCACCATTTGGTTGTGTTTGCCACTCACCTGGGAATGGATCATCCTCAACATCTCTCGGCCTGTTCCATGGCTGCCTGCTTGTTTTTTTCTTTTTGTTGCTCTTCAAAACATTCGTAGCTGCAGAAAGCTCTTTGAGCTTGTGTGGGACTCTGCCTGCCTGGCGCATCTTCCTTCTTTCTTTCTTGTTGGTCCCACAGCTGGGACATTTGATGAATCCATTATTTATGCTTTCAATACAACAAATTACTGGTTTTCTTCACTGAAAAATACATACATCGAGATAATATGGCTGATCAGGGCCCATCAATAGCCTGTACATTGAGACCTAGGAAATGATGTTAATATTTTTCTTTCAATTAATCATCACAGCATTAATATTGAGCATGCTCAGGGAGTAAAAGGGAACATAGCTAACCCACCACTCAAAACCACTGTGAACTCCAAGAGCAAAACTATCTTTGGGGAAACAGAGGTGGTATAACTGTCTGGAAAACCCCATGCAACACTCTTCTGCCAATACACAAGCTATGAAGTATATACTTTTTTAGTAGTACTTATGAAAAAGTATATACTTTTTCAGTATATAGCATAAAAGTTTGCAGAAATTTTGGGGGGGTCAGCTGTACAGAACAGTTCCAAAAATCAGTGATGAATCCTGTCCAGATAGTCCTTTGTTTTTTATGCTTGTCATTGCCCTACTTACAAAGATGCTAAAAAAGGATTCTGGCCACTAACATAAGCTACGCATTGCCAACCTTGCATCACATTTATTCCTAAAACCATTCACTTAGTGAAAATGGTTCGGCACAGGAACATCCACAAAGCTCTGCAAATCAAAAGTGACCATCAGGATCAAGAGGAATATTGTTTTAGTTCATCAATGCTGGCCATGACTAGAATATCCCTTTGCCTGGGGCAGTGGTCTATTGGACAGTGAATCAGGCAAGGAGTAGGCAGATGAACACTGATATACAGCCTTTCTTTTTATGGCTGACAGAGTGCAGCTGTCTACTAAGTATGGAGCTAGGCCTTACAAACCATGTTGCATATGATGCGTCTCGTCAAGATTGTGTTACCCTTTTATTATATAACTTACCACATTCAATCAGCAAGCAGTGTCATCTGTGATCTGATGCAATGCATATCAATGCATGCACAGTCCCATTTGTGATACCGCATCTGGTCTTGAAAGTATGACTGTGTAATCCTGCTGTTCTATGATTATTGTTGACATGAAGACATGTTCTAGAACAGTAATATCATGCCAACTACAAAAATGCATTTAAACCAACTGTGAAGATGCCTGGTGCTGAGGCCAGATTGAGGAAACAAATCCAGCACAGGCATGTTATGAAATGAGCATTGTGGGTTTGACACATGGTTGCCACTGATTTCAGTGCAACCAGAGACAATGCTTCCAAGAATTAGAAGGCTGCAATAGCAATTTTCAGAAAATCCTCCAAACACTATTTTACAAAAGCAATGTGACATACATCCATGCTTGAGCCTGAGGTAATATGACACACATGTATGCCCAAGCCACACTGAAAGCACCTATGTCACTTGAGGGCCACAATGGTAGATGCCACTTCACTCAGTGCAGTGGGACATTTTGGTCTGACTGTGACTTTAAATAATCATAATTTCTTGAAAATTCGGCTCTATAAATGCTGCAATTGGTCATGAGAGTGTAATAACCTCAGATCTATGTGGTGACATGCATGCCCCGACTGTTGCTCGGAGGTGTCATTGCACAAGCATTTTTGATGTCACATATAAGTGGATTTATGGTAAAACCAGCATGATTTTCCAAAACAATATCTCTTAAGCACCCTTTCGACCAGTTTTCAAGAGGATCGCATGATCGAAACCTAGTGTTTTTGATCCCTGAAAAATAAGTGACGTCTACTTGGAGAACACCGGTGGGGCCACGTGCTCCCTGGTTCGAACCGTGCCTCACCACCTTCAAACAGCCTCACACACTGCTACGCCAACACAACAGCCGCGACGCTCACCTCCACAAATCACCGCACGTGGAGGACCCCCGTGGGACGCGACCGGGAACGGTGCACGCCGGGAATAATACTTGCCGTGCTTCGCCTCTGCTCCTGCGCCGCGATGCGGCACAAGACGTTCGTTGTGGTACCGCTCAAGGCTGTAGGTTATGGCGTCCCAAATATATGGTCTCAAAATAGGACTTTCATGACGTAATAAATGTTGTGCATGCAGAGCACAATTTTCTTATGATACAAACTTTGTTTAGTTACATTCGTTTTATACTGTATCTATATTTTTAAAACTAATGGCTGTTGAAAATGGTAGATTTTTAAATAATGAATGAAGTAAAATGATCAAAAATGCATAGCCACTGGTAAATTAGTGGGTTGGGTTTTGGGTCAAGGTAGACCAATGCAGCGCGGGCGTCACCGTTTGATTTGTTTTGTTGCTTGCTGGCTTGGTTGTGGGTAGTGGCGGAGCCGTTTTAATCTTAATTTCTTGTTTTTCTCTTCCTATCTAGTAAAGTTTTTGTTTCGTGGACCAGCAAATTTCAAAGCATGACGAAGAATCGAAGTCTAGCTGGAAAATGGGCCGTTGGTCTCCTTGCTCTCACGTTCGTTTTGGTGGTGCTGGCGTTCAGCACGCAGAATTGGCTTGCCAGTGATGATCGCTTCTATGGAGCAAAGCTGGAAAAGATGGGTCTTTGGGTACATTGTTTTAGAAGCTTGCCAGACCCACAAGACTCATCATTACGGCAGTTCTTCAGTGGCTGCCGCTGGCTGTTTGAGGCATACACCACAGGCTACTCAGAGATCAGAGGTCATCTGACACCCCGTAAGTAATATTTCTGTTCATGAGCTGTGGTCTGCATCCTATGATCCCAAGCTATGAGAAAAATTGCTATTGATACCCATAGTCTTAACAGAATGTATGTTTATGTAGGTTTTCCTCATCCTTTGATTCCTCAGCAATGTTCCTCATTAACAGTTTTAATTTCAACCTGGCTTTTCTTTAGTGTGGCTCAAGTCAGTTTTCATTCACACTGAATTCAGCTTTTGAGCTGCTTTATGAGGATGTCTTGATTAATGACACATACCTGGACTTTAGGAACGCCTTCAAGTCGTCACACACGTCTCTGATCTCCAAGCTCAGGACTAATGGCATCAATGGCGATTTACTGAATTTGCTCAAAGCGTTTCTTTCTGACATGAAGCAGGGAACAATGTTGGAGGGGCATTGCTCTTTGTGGGTTTCAGTAGCCAGTGGTGTGCCCCAGGTTCAAGGTGCAACATTGGGACCGTACTTTCCCTGGTTAATGTTCATGACATGTAGGACCAACTAAAGAGCTGTGCCATAGGGCTTGATTCCCTGTGATGCTTTTAGATAAGAGAAAATTGCACTGAGAGGTAGTATGCCATTTCCCAGATTTCAGAATATTCATTTTACATGAAGCATAATGCAGGCATGTCTTGCATAGCAGCAACATATGCTCATCATAAATCTGTGGATTTAACATTCAGCATAATTTGGGCCAGCCCAAGTTTGGCACATGTGTTTGTGGGGTGTACTCAGCAGAGATGTAGTAAGTACAGATATAGCAGGCCTAGGCATCTGGTTTAGTGGGCGAAGGCATAGGCATTCACGCAGCAGATGACTTTTTGCTGACTGCACCATCACAAGAGATGCTCTGTAGGGAAAGTTGGGAAATCATGGTCTGTGATTGGAAATGTCAGATGATTATCTGTGTGCTGCAATGCAAGGTTGTGCATTAAGTAAAGCTTAACTTCAGTGTTCTAATGAGGTAATGGAATCAGAGCTTGAGAAGGTCTAAGGGTAACCTAACCTAAGTATGTAAGTTGTGAAGCACATTTGCAAGGAGTGCTATTCATATTGGTAAGACAGTGCTGTTTGTTTTGTTCCTTGTAAAATAACCAGAAGAAAGAAGAGATAGATATATTGATATTTTGACTATATGCCATTCTTGAAACAAATGCAAGTGGTAAATTCAAAATCACCTTTTACATAAAATTGCCTTTCCATGTATGTGTACAAACTAACTTTCACATAAAAAACTGCAGTTTCCTCTCTTGGCAGTGAGATTTTGGTTTGAACCAATTTCCTGCTGGCTTTGGCTTCAGATATACATGATCAAGAACACTGGTTTCAGATTCAGCATCTTGCTCTTTGTTTGCAGTCTCAAGTTTTGGAGTTACCAGCTTTGGCTTTGATCCGAGCTCTATCGTACTGTCATGATTTCTCATTTGACTTTGCCAGTAGTGTAGTGGTTAACGTGTCTGTGTTAACGACTGCGCATCTGGGAAACCAGAGGTATGGGCTTGATTCCCTGCGGTGCCCGCCCCTCCTGCCAGGGTGAGAGGCAGGTGACGCCATATAGCCTCAGCAGCTCAGTGCGTCGTAAAGCCCCAATGACAGACACATGAAACCACCAGTCTGGGGTTGCCTGTAGTGTAGTCTGCTTTAACCAGTGCTGTTAACCACTATATTGAAATTTGTGTGGAGAAGTGTGAAACCTAACTGCTAAATTTGCAGAATGTAAATGCTATATAAATAGTTTATAGATTGTTGTGAAGGACAGGTTTGGGTTTTTTGTTGGAGGGGGTGGGTGGGGGAGGGGGATGGTTTGTTAATAGGTTGGTTGTACCAGTTTTTTGTAGTTAACTTCAAAACATTTCAGTCATGAATAAACAATATGCTTTATTGTGGCTGCATTATGTCCTGTTCAGCAAAACACCTGGAAAGAGATGGCATTATTTTTGAGTAGTTTCCATCCCCATGGCTGGGGTGCTGCTTTAAAACTTCTTTTACTGAAAGTGTAGTCACCATTTTGAGGTGAGGCTCAGTGCTGTGCATGGCACGCTCACTTGTCCTCATTTTCAGCATTCTTCATAGCAGTGCAGATGTTCTACACGCTTTGCTTCCTGTGTACGGCCGTCAGCGCTGTGCTGGTGGTGATGCTGATCCTCTGCATTGACGAGGACCGCGAGGTTTGCTTCCTGCGCACCATGGCCGTGCTGATGGCGCTCTCAGGTACGCCATGGTTGCCAGCCAAGCGCTCTGCATATAGATGTGTTTGGATGTTCTGATGACGGGTGGACGGAAAGTGGCGACTTTCTGCGGATTTGTGGGTAAAGCATGCATAGAGTGAAGTGGGCAGTGATTGTGACCTATTTTCAGTGCCGAAATTACGCAGCAATTCGTTAAATGACTGATCGTTCGCCGATCGTCTCCGGTAACGATAACGACTCCCCGTGACGTGGTACGTCTGCGCTCTTACAGGAGTGTTTGGCACGTTTGCGGTCATCATTTTTGGCGCGATGGGACGCTCTTACGAATGGACCACGGATAAGCAGCATAACTACCTCTCCTGGAGCTACGGACTCGGTAGGTCCAAGTCACACACCGTCATTCCGTTACACTCGGGACCTGTCCATCGAGCTGGCGGACAAGGACAATCACATGCTCCTAATCGAGCGCATCTGCATTGCAGGTTAAATAGACGACAAAAGAGCTGTTTGGTGCTTTATAGCCCATGTGTTCTTGGTATGTGTGAACTATCTGCTTCAAGTCACGCTTTAGAATTATATATGTATATATATATATATATATATATATATATATATATATATGCGTGCATCAGAATTATATTTATATATATTGTATATATATCTGATATTTTGACATGGTACCGCTCGACAGGGTCCGCTGCTGATCGCGACGACGCGTTTGCGTCTGCACAGATGGTTATGGCGCTGTGCTTACGTTGAATCCCCGCGAGCAAGGAACATTGACGCACTCAGCTGGCGGGCCCTTGGCGGGCTTGCCGCCGAGTCGTCAGGGGAGTGCGAGCGGTGCATGTTATGTACACCTCGAGTCTGGCGGGTGGGCGTCAGATGATGCTGTCCAGAGAGAGGAGAGGCGCTGACAGACGTGCATCTGCTTCATCTGGTGGCGCTCAGCGTGTGGGCAGGGTGTCGTCGTCAGTTGTGGCCGGGGGTCGGCTGATGACAAGCGATATCGCTTGCTTGAAACTAACCGGTGTCGGCTGGTAATCTGCACTGGGCGGTGTCAACAGCAGCGGCAGCGGCAATGGCAGACCACTTCACACTCAACGATCACGGGCCCGCCCCTCACTGTAATCTCCGCAATCTCTCGCCCATCATTGATTCGTGTCGCTGCGTGCACTGACTGTGGCGTGGTGCCGCCAGGTGTCCTGGCCGCCTTTCTCGCCTTTGTCGACATGTCTCTATTCCTGGTGGATGCCCGGATAAAGCAGCGGAAGCTGGAGGGCCGCTACTCCGGCAAGCCGCGCACGCTTGACTCGACCGTGTAGCCGGGCGGCGGGCGAGACTAACTCAGGGCTTCGGCGGCCGGCGGGTAAGGCTAACCAGTGGGTTGCGGCGGGCGAGACTAACGCGGAGGTGCGTCGGGCGTGGCAGGGGACCAGCTCTGGGGTGCCCTGCGCCGGAGGGGTAACAGCGCCGGAGTGCAGGAGCTCATTACTGCTGCATGCGCTGAAACCTGTAAATGCTGCACCCGTAACGCTACAACCTATCATGGCATGAACGCGCTATGTACCTAACTAGCGACGAGAATGGCTGCTTGGTCGGGCACGTGTTGGGCTCCAAGTTTCTGGGTCTTGAACGCGACGCTCCTATGTTTCAGCGGTAGTGGCTGCATTCCTGCAGCTCGTGCTCTGCGTGCTGGTGTGGAACGAGGCTCAAATCACGAACAAGAAGATCGCTCGCAGTGTGAATGCCGCGGCGGCTGCGGGAGACTACTAGCGATCGTGGCGCCATCCGTCGGCAAAGTCCGAATCTGCACTTCAGTTAGCGCCGCAACTGCAGCGGTCGCCGTCTAGCTCGCGTGGTGCTTTCGGTCGATCTCGGCTGAGCCTGAACTTCAGTGACAATGGTTGACGGCGATCGGCATACTTCCTGGAGTGGCGGAGGCTCCAGTGACGGCAGTTGACATACGTCCTGGAATGCTAGAAGCTTCAGTAACGGCGATAAGCGCACGTCTTGGAGTGGCGGAAGCTTCAGTGACGGCGATAGGCGCACGTCTTAGAGTGGCAGAGGCTTCAGTGACGGCGGTCGGCTTTGGGGGACCGTCGCGCCGCCAGTGGATCACGCCTGAACCGGCATCCTGAACCATGAATGGCCACCGCCTACGCGGCAGCCATTGGCGCGGCTCACAGAATCTCGGCACATTTGCCACACGTTCAGTCTGAACCCGCTTTTGTTTTGCCTGATTGTGGATAGTCCGCATATGTGTAAATTTTTTTTAGTGATACTGAGTACGTTCAATTCTGCACGAATGGCCTGGGTGAAAGAAAGCACCGAACATTGTTACAATCATGTGGCACGTTAACGCGCACTCGTGTGTAATTGGGGGGGGGGGGGGGGGGGAGGGGTACGGTGCGCGCGCCAGCACAGCTGTGCTGCTGATTCCCGTCCAGTGACTAAGTCAACGTCTTGGGCTGAGTGAGCAGCGTAGTCAACATTCGAAAGCTGGCGCATCCCTCGCAGGGAAGGGTATCATCGTCTGTGCTTGACTGAGGTCGTGCCACGCAACGCACTGTGGCTCTACCGGTACTGTATAGCGAAGAATGGCCGGAGTCTCCTAGTACTGCCTGCGTGGTGACCTCGATCGATCCGTCCACACCGTGAATCTGTTCCTGTATCTCACTGTATGTCGCACTTGTTATCCGTCCATTAAGACTGCTGACGCTCACTGGTGGCGTGTGGGGCCTGCGCGGCCAGCGCCACCATGTGCGGGTATGGCACGTTAGCTCCCGTCTCGCGTATCAAACGCTCATTCTGTAACATACAGGACGCGGTGCATGTGTGAAGACATTGCCATTAATACTTGATGCACATTCCGTTCCGAAGTATAAGCCGATTGGGCGTATTTTTCTACTGGACTTTTACAGTCGGGTTGGTCTCGTATCCAACCGATGATGGCTGCGGAATCTGGTTTTGTGCTCGATTGTCTACAATAAAGCCAATCTCGGCGGCCATCGGGTTTCTCTTCGCATTCGTTGCACCATGCTTCTGTGGATGGATTCATGTGTGTGGCTTTAATTGCACGTGGAAAGGCTCCGCAAACTGGGGCGATCATGGGCGGCGCCTCCGACTTTTCCAGGGGGACCAACAGGTAGAGTTGCATTCTGGGCGGAACGTGAGGCCTGCTGTCCAGATGTTTCCCGAAGTTACGCCTCCGACTTTTCCAGGGGGACCAGCAGATCGAGTTGCATTCTGGGCGGAACGTGAGGCCTGCTATCCAGATGTTTCCCGAAGTTACGCCTCCGACTTTTCCAGGGGGACCAGCAGATCGAGTTGCATTCTGGGCGGAACACGAGGCCTGCTATCCAGATGTTTCCCGAAGTTACGCCTCCGACTTTTCCAGGGGGGCCAACAGCTGGGCGGAGCGTAAGGCCCGCTGTCCAGATGTTTCCCGAAGTTACGCCTCCGACTTTTCCAGGGGGGGGGGGGGGGGCAACAGATCGAGTTGCATTCTGGGCGGAGCGTGAGGCCTGCTGTCCAGATGTTTCCCGAAGTTTTAGGTGTTTTAATTGGACGCCGCAACGTGGGAAGTCGCCAGCCGCGGCCGTCTCGCTAGCATTCAGTGAGGCATGCACCTAGGGTGATCGACCGGGTAAGGCCAAGTCCGTAATCGCAAGTGTGTTGTACTTGAAGCTGATAGTCCCGAGTCTCTAGCGCTGTCGAAGGTACACAAATGCACCCTTCGCGCGCGATTATGACTTCCGGCATCAGTGGTATTCTGGCTTTATGACTGTTTTTTTCCGGCATCAGTGGTATTCTGGACGTGACTACTGGCAGGCAGGCCGCGCTTAGGAGTTGGAGGTCAATGGGGATTCGAACAAGAAACGTCATGTCGGCCGGTGAGCGATTGACATGCCCGGCCGGTAGCGCTCCCACAATGACGTGAACGCAGGGCTGCACTTTTGGGGCGTAATTATAAGTATTTTTTCCTCACCACTGTAGTCGGCAAACACTACACGGGTAGGCCGACAGCAGGTAGGAATGTGCCTTCAGGATGTGGTTTTAGCAAAAAGGTCATGTCGGCTTACAGGCGATTTCCATCTGCAGCCAAAAGTTTGAAAATATCCGGTGTGACCTGCCAATCAGCATTGACTTAGCTTTGTCGGGCGTTTTCTTGTGTTCGGCTCGACTCTTTTTTAGCTGGCGTGGGACCGGCTCACAATTTTTGCAATCCGACTCAGCTCATGGCTGATAGCCTTTTCACTCGTATAGGTGAAGCTCAGTTTAGACCCATCGCTTGTGTTGAATCATCTGGCGCAGGGCTCACGGCTTGCAAAATCAAAGAGCCAATTCAGTTCTGGCTCGTTACCTTATGACTCGTGAGCCATATGACCCACTGACACGCGTGCACACCCACACACACCACACACACACAGGTATATATATATATATATATATATATATATATATATTAACTATACCTACTTTGCGGTAATTATGAACGTCCCCCGAGAGTTGCGGTGACAGTGGTGATGACTGCATCGCTGTATGCTGAGTTAGCAGTAACAGCATGTCGGGCTGCCATTTGATGTTTTCTTATTTCATGGTTAGATTCATTACTGGCGGATTAGACGTACCTGCTACTCACCACTTTTTCCTCGAACTGCTAAATGTGCATACACCTGACGTCGTGACGTCCAATGTGGCCGTTTTAAATCTGAATTTGATACATTATTGACGAGTGATGAAGGGACGCTTGTGTCACCCCAATCGCCTGGTGCAAATACGAAGACCTTTACAGGTCACTTCAACCGTTTCCAGAGATGTGTTCGACGCACTAATGATTGAGTAATGTGTGCTGTGGTTTTTATCTCTACCTGGCATAAGGTCTTACATTGGCCCTTTACAGGTCATATTTTTCCGTGTGCTGCGGTTTTATCTCTACCTGGCATAAGGTCTTACATTGGCCCTTTACAGGTAATGTGGACATTGGTACGTGTTCCTGACGTAACTGCGAACACGTGACCGTCTTTAAATTTCGATCAGATGTGTTAATGACGAACTGCTTGCTGGCCACGTTTTCGTCGTATGCATATATAAGTCCGGACATGAATGCATTACTTACTACACGAATTCTCTGTCCATTAGATCCACTCTTAATTATTTGTCCGTCCCCTTGGCTCAGTTGGTTCGAGTGTCTGCCTTCCGATACACCCACCCGTGGCATGGTGGGTTCGAGTCGCTTTATGGCGCTTTTTATTTGCCCCTGGGAGGCATGGCCTGTTACGGCACGTTAAGCTTTCGCCACTAAATTCTGCCGTGGCCTGGAATTGCGCGATCGCACGGTGGGGGTCAGGGCTCACACAACAAGCTCTGCTTGGCGTGAGCGCTGATCCCAGAAATCCATCCATTCAAAGGGCTCAGATCAAATTTAAAAAATAAGAAAAAAATATTGACGGTGGTTGTAGAACGCTACCCACCAGTGTTTCGCTCTTACTATTCGGTCCTAACGCCTCATTCTGTGGGCTATCCGCCCGCACTGTTTGCCCTGGAAAGACCGCGTATGAAGTGAAGTAACGCTCCCGAGCCGTCCATGCCTTTTACTCGTCCGTCGCGCTTCTCAGCGCCTACCAATGCCAGAGCGTACGCTGTCAACTCCGCACTAAGTCGGCCCTCTTCCGTGTGTGCGGAGAGAGACGAGCTTGGCCCGGTCTGTGTCGGGAGAAAGCGTCGGGGGCAGCGCCGCGGCGGCCGCCAGCGAAAGGGAAGAGTTGCAGGGCGGGGCGGGAGGCCCTGCGCGGGCGGTCACCCCGGTCAAGAGCGCGGCCAGAGCGGAGCCGCGTCCGGCAGACACGCTGCTGTGGCCGCGCGCGTGTGAACCCGACATCTTCGAAAGGCTGGAGATGGAAGGCCTGGCGGAAGTGGTCGACTGCAGGCACACGCTTGGACCGCACGTACAGATCCCGGACACCCACGTTCTATCGTGGAGGAAAGGAAGATGGGGGAGGGGAGTGGTCCGGAACAAGGGTCCTAGGATCCATCTGAGTGTCTGGGTGTACGTCTTGGCCGGGACGAGAAGATCCAGTTCTGCACGAGACACACGCAGCAAGTTGTTACGGTAAAATGCATATATTTATATGTACCTTCATGAAGCCTCACTGCATTATATATTATTGCACAATGCACCGGTGGCTATTCTGCCGTCCTAAGGTAAAACCCTAGATAATAATTTTCAGCCATTTTGCACCTTTTATGTCACGTGATTCATGTACTCATGCTGATTTCAGTAATTTAAACAATCGGCTGAAATTTTCACAAACCTTGAGCCAATTCTTTTAGCTAAAAGTATGTGAAAATTTCAACTATTGGTTTGAATATCCGCCTGCAGCATGAGAAAACAAATCAGATAGTATAAAAAACGCTAAGTGACTAGAAATTAGCATATGGGGTTTCACCTCTGGATGGTAGTATTGTCCGGTGTTAATGTGTTAACATTCTGGGTAGTGCCTGCCATTTATGCCGCAGTGAAACGAAGTCGATAGCTCGGCATGATATTGTTACAAAACTTGACAGGTGTTTCGCACCTATCTGCACCAATCAGATGTGTCTTCCCTAGATGCGTGCTACCCGGGTGCTGTGGCGTCAACCGACACTTTAAGAAGCCTACAAAAAATGGCCTTCGCGCGCACTAGTACAATCCGGTTTCACCTCCGCTATCACCTCGCCCTGCTCGCCCCCCCCCCCCCCCCCTCCCCCTCCAGCCCCGTCCAAACTCCTACGTTCGAGTCATCCCTTCTCGCGAGCCGTCCTTCTTGCCGTCTGGGTGACCCTCCCCGGTATTGCCCAACACGGTACGGAACGGCTCCCATGAACGGCGCGCAGTTCCCTGAACGTGTGCCGGCGCCGAGAGACCGAGCGCCGCTCTAGCCCGCGGCGCTGGCGACCCTCCACCACCTCCGCCACCGCCGCCGCCGCCGCCGCACTGCGAGCGGAGAGCTCGAGACGACTGGTCGGCGCCGGTTCCCTGATCGTGAACATCATGAAGCTCCTCCTTGTCGTGGGCTGCCTGCTGACGACCGCCGCGGCCCAGAGGCGGCCAGGTAAATGGCCCGGCCGCTGTGCGGCGCCTGCCGCTGTTGGACCGATGCTCTTCACTGATGCTGTAGCTGTGTGTTCACTTGAAAAGCAGGCAGTTCTTTCGACGACCCTCAACTGTACGGATACGAAGCTCTGCTGAGGCAGGCGGACGGGCGTGGAGCCCGGCGGTGTGTTTCCCGTGTTGGATTGTGAATGTCTGATGCAAAGCCTTTCAGAATCGCAGCTCTATTGGAAAAGTCCCAAAGGACTTTAGGGATGGCGGGTCCGTTTTGTCCATTTCTGCAAGGTCCTCTGACGTTCAAGA